ACTGAAGCACTTAGGGGATGTTTTCTGCTCCTGGCTTGTTCCCTGCCTGAATCACACTACAGTACTTGGGTGCAGGAAAGCATATAAGTGCATATACCCTGCCCAGCCTTAGCTGGGTTCCAACATAGCACAGGGGAGGGGAAAGACTGGATGACTCTTCTGGGCATGATACACTGTCCCCACCTTCCCTGTCCCTGACAATTCCTGCCCACATTCATTTAGAAAAAAAAGACTGCAAAGCTCTAGGCTGCTCTAGGGACCCCTGGCATCCCAGGGCATCTTTACAAATGCTCCAGGGTTGTGGAGCGGGGTGGGAGGATGGACGTTTTAATTAGAGCAGCTTTCAGGAGCCTCTCTAATTAAAATGCCTGAAGCATCTTGTGTATTCAGCACTCCACACTTCAAAATGGTGGTGGGGGTACTTTAATTAAAGCTTGTTCAATGCGCTTTAGTTAAATGCGCTGCCATTTTGAAACACTGGGATGGTGAATAAATGTGAAGGTGACACTGTTGTAGCATTTTAATTAGATTAATTGAGTCTGCTCTGATGCTTTCTAATTAGAACATATCAGAAAAGGAGTTGGGCAAGTGTATACTGTGTTGACACTGCAGGCTCTTTGCTTCTCTGTTTGAACTTCTGTATAAGTCTATTTTTCTCTCAGGAAAACAAATCTGGGAGAGTTGTCTTGGATGATTTGAATGTGTATATGCAGCCTCTGTCACAGCCCAGAAACATAAAACACTATTTCTCATAAGCAAGAGTAATAGACTGCATTAGAGACTTGATTCCACACAACATGCATGTGGTGTACTGTTAATTAATGGGCTGGCTAGGGAGGATAGTGGAACCTGAGGGTTGGTAATAGAAATGGTTGAAAAGTTGGGGAAAAATACATCTAAAAGGGCTATTTCATAGCAATGAAAATATTTTTCAGAAATTTACCGCTGTTGATTAAATTTAGCTGTGAATATGCTGAAGTTTTTAAAGCGGTAAAATAAAGTGCAGTAGAGTCAGAAATATATATGTAATATATATGTACATTCAGATTGAATGGATTTTAACTAAAACCTTAAAATATGTTCACTTTTCAACTTTGTTCAATCCCAAAGAAGATTTTATTTCAGAAAATGGACAGTTGCTGCTGAAATTGTTTTTCAGCTGCAACAATGGTGAATGATTTATGGCGGTTGGTATTTAAATTAGTGGAAAGCTCCCTGAAATTTTCTCCATGAGGGCAATGCTGAGATCTGTGGCAAATTTATTGTGACAGGATCTCCACTAGAGTATGAATCCAGTAAACACCAGGAAAGGATATGGCATCTCTAAGAACGATCTGGGATCTGTAGCAGTGGTTTTATTTTCCTATGACTCAATAAGATCCTTGGACTTGTACTGTGCACATATTGTTTATTCTACAAGGGTTTAAGGGTTCCTGAAGTTCAAGTTCCATTTCCTTCTTTTACAACAAAAGTTGCCAGGGATACTGCGGATTTACCTTCTTGTAAGAAAGGTAATTGGGAGCTCTAACTACACACTGTAAGGGTTTCTTTTCAGTATTTACTCTTTGAAAACAGAAACTCCTATTCATTTTGTGAGATGAGGGTGGACGGATTTGTCCTCCAGTCTCTGCATAGACTTTGCAAGATTGAACAATTGGGTTTTTTGGCATCCTAACAAAGTATTACCCATCCAGCAAATCACCTGTAACTTTTAGGATTGTATAAGTGTAGAGATCGCCTCCCTCCCCCACCCCCCTTCAGCATACAAGTAATAATTTTCAAATAAATGTTAAACTACATCATAAAATCATAGAGAAGTAGGGCTGGCAGGGACCTCAGGAGATCATCTAAACCAACCCCCTGCCTGAGGTAGGATCATCCCAATCCCAATCATCCAGTAAAAATCCATTATATAACCTCTTAGAAAAACTGCACAGTTAACCCTGACACAACATCAGATGTAATACTCTAACCTTTCTAAAGCAGGAGGACCACTATGGCCAACATACTGCTGCTGTAAAGATTGTTAATATATGTTCAAGAGATCCCAAGAAGGGGGTCATGCCCCTTGCTACTGGAGAAGGCAAAAACCCCACAGTCCATACCAATCGACCATGGGATAAAATTCTCTCTTAACCCCAAATATGGTGATCGGTCTGACCCGGAGTGGAAGGGAACACCTTCTAGTCAGGAACATCTGACTTCAAATCCCAGCAGGAGCATTGTCACTTCCCAGCCCCAATCCCCAGCCTTGGCTGCAGCCAATCCCCAGTGCCTCTGAGGAAGGCTTAAAAAAGTCCTGATATTTAGCAGCCTGAGGGGGATGGAGGAGAGAGGGAGTGGGGGACATCCCTCCTGGCCCCATGTGGCAAGCAGTAAAGCCCAGAAGCATGGGAAATACTCATAGTAAAACATAGGCATAGCTATGCCTAGAGCATCCCTGACCAGTGGCTGGCTAAAGTCTTCTTAAACACCTCCAGTGATGGTGAAATCACAGCTTCCCTAGGCAGCCTATTTCACTGTCTAGCTCTTTCAGCCTCTCCTTGTACTACTTGCCTTCCAAGACCTTTATCATTTTTGTCACCCACCTATGGATCCTCTCTAACTTCCATATCCCTTTTAAAATGTGCAGCCCCAAACTGCACACACTGCTCTAGATAAGTCCTCATCAGTGCCAAGTAGAGAGGCACTGTCACCTCCCATGTCTTGCATCTAATGCTCCCATTGATGCATTCCCAAAACTACATCTGCCTTTTGTGCAGTTGCATCACACTGCAGACTTGCGTTGAGTCTGCGATCTACCAAGACTCCCAGATCCTTCTCTGTAGTTCTGCCAAACAGCCAGGAGTCACCCATTTTGTATTTTTATTACTTTTCCTGAGGTGCAGCACCTTGCATTTGTCAGCATTGAACTTCATCCTGTTAATTCCAACCCAGCTTTCCAATCTGTAAGGATATTTCTGACATCATTTCACTTTCCATCCCTGAAAGTGAAAACAAGTTAGGTGCGAAGTATCCCGAGCCTGGGAGAAGCCAGGCCAGTGACCATACCCCACATCTGCCCTAGCCTTGTCCCTTGGTATACAATGACACTTCCTCCTATCAGGTACTTCACTCTGTATCATACAAGGAGAGGTAATGTGGGTGCAATAGCAGCTGGTTTTAAGGCATGTCTGCACTGCCTCTTTGTTGAAACTGGGAGTGCTGCCAAGAAGCATGCCCTGCCCACTTGTTCCCACTGGCATGCATCAGAGCTCAGATACTGAACATCACAGCAAATTTACCACAGACCTAAGCATGCGCCAAGAAGCACATCTGAGACGAAGGCCAAGCATGGCCCTGGCTGTATCAAACCAGTTACACTGCCTAATTTTTAGGCACTGGGGCATATGAGGAGGAGCAAGTGGGCAGGATTACTCTGTGGAGCTCCTGGATTCATCACAGTCTTTCTGAAATGAAACCCAAAAGTAGCTACATGGGCCATAGTGGACCAAAGAGTGGCATAGCAGTAGAGAGATCCAGGAGCACTGGAGAAGTGAGGAAAGGAGGTGGACTAACAGCATGGTTCTGGAATAAAAGCAGAGATGTCCTTAGTGGAAGTTCTCATTTTACAATTCCAGGACTCTAGAGACCTTTGCATTTTAAAAGCTGGTCTCCCAGTGGCCCCAAAACTGTATAAGACCAAGAGAAATACAAGAATGTTCTTTCTGATTAACAGCCTAGTAGGATTTTTCTACTTACTTAAAACACTTTGTGCTGTTTCAATATTCCAAATAAAATGTTTTCTCCTTTACTCTCTGGCTGGGAGTCTGGCCAGAAGAAAGACAGATGCTTCAATGTTTTGCTTTTTCCAAACCTTTTCTTTAGAACAAATTCTCTTGGTTTTGCCTGTATTCATGAGCTTTGATCTGGGAAGAGAAGAAAAATCAAGATTTTCAAAATAAAACATATCCATTTTTTTTCTAGTTACTGCCAGTATTCTCTCTTTAGACATGGCTTTTGTCACATACACTTGGCACAGTAAAGATGATTGCTCTACCTACGTCTTGCTCAGGGGTCTTAAATGGAGCCCTTGTTTTGATTCAATATATTCCGTACTGAATCTTTAGCTAAATCCAACTGCAATACATTCAGTTCCAAAAAGAAATAAAGCTGTATCCTCCAGCTGCTCCAGGGAGTCTAATTATTCTGACATTTTGTATTTGACTGAAATTTTGGCGAGAGGGGAAAAATATGTTTTTGTTTAAATTATTTTCTTTAACAATGTCTGTATGAAGTCTATTAACTTTTTTCGATCCTTTTCACTTGGTTTATACCTTTTTCAGCCCCTATCAGCTTGACAAGTATATTATTAAACCACTGTCCAAATCTGTAAGCCATCAAATGTACTATCTAAACCTATAGTGGCAGAACGGACATTACTACAGTGTGCATGCATTTCACACAGGGCCTCCTTGATGAAGTTCCTATACTCTGCCACTTCTGTTTTCAGGGTCTCTTGCTATATTGAAAAAGATAAGGGCTCCCCTGTTGTCCCAACTGGCATTTTTGCCAGTCATCATACCATGTTATGGGTTTTCTTATGTTTTTGTTTCCTCAGATAAGTTGAACCCCCAACAAATGCAGTCTTAGTTTACCAAAATGTGTTTTTTCTCCTTACAAAAAAAGCTTTAGTGACTCAAAGTCCCTTACTAGTCCTAACCGCTTAGAGTAAAAACCTATATAAGTGCCAAGATATTACTATTCATTTATTATCATAAATACACACTGAATGACACACATTAAAATTATTCATTAGTCATAAAATCACTATATGTGTAGAGTGTAAATATGTATGGCCCAATTTAGCATTCCGGTTTTCTCCCGATATAATATAACAGAGCTATATCACTATGTAGTTGGAGGATGACAATGGTGTAGCCCTGTAGACTAGAATGTCATCTGCATATTTACTGTAAGTGTTATGAAGAAAGCAATAATATTTTTACTTCTTTTGTCAGGTTGGATTTTTGGTTTTTTTAAGGCTCCTTGTTTTTCATTTGTCTGGTCAATTGGAGGTTTCTGAAGAACAGATAGATGGGCTTCAAATAGGATTAAATGGTAGAGTATTACGTATTTTCTATATAGGGAAAATTTCTTGAAAAATACCCTTTAACTACTTGGGAACTGTAAATAAGCTAGGAATCAGTTTTGTTAAATGAGGTATATAGTGAAAGTCATATCTATAAGTGAAAAGGAAGAAAAAAATCAGAACAACTCTGCACCCCTGACTTACTAAATGCAAGTTAGTCAATATAGTCTCAGGGCATGTGCCAAAAATTTCCTGTATCTTGTGATTTTTAAGCCTATTGACTGGTCTCAATAGATATTGCAGTATATGTAGAAATGCTGAAAATTTAAAATGAAGTTGAATCAAATCAACTTATTTAAATCCTCTTTGGAATTTGATTGATGTTAATTACTCATGAAATCCACACACAAAGCTTTCTTAGATATTACCATATATTTTAGGTGATGAAAGGTCATTGCTATAAATAGAAAAAATCGACATTGCAAAATCCTTAAGTATCTAGGGTACTGTAGTGACATATAATCCAATCCTGTAAGGTGCTGAAAACCTTATTCAGGGTGCTGAGTTCCTAGAACTGACATTGACCACAATGGGGAGGGAGGGTGCTCATAGACTTAGGCTCCTATTTATTTATTTATTATGCCAGCACTGCTGATAAAACAGACCTAATGACAGGCATTCATATTATATTTCAGAGTTTTTTGACTTTACATATGCTGGATGCAGTGAATCAGTAGGCTGTTGCTGTAGTAAGACTGCAGAGGCATTGCAGTCTTGCTACTATCATTGGTTGTCATGGCCACAAGTAATACACAAAATGAAGAACAAAGAATCAGATGTTTAAAAAAAAATGATTACCCACTTTTTCCCCACTAGTGTACCTTTCCTAGTAGTGTACCTTTTTATATTACAAGCTTTGTCCACAGTGGTCTATTACAGACAATGTATAAATACAATAATAGACATCTTCACAATAGAACTTCCTGTACCTGCCATTCTTAAAGTAGTACTTACACTGATACGCAGTGTCCAATATCTTGGTTTACAGGCAGTCATACCTTCTTTTAGGCAACCACTGAGGTTATGTCCTCTCACAAAACCCTCTCTTTCAAGCAACTGAATACATGAAATTAAATCTCTTCTATGTCAAATAACAGGAATCAAACCACATTTGCATTATAGATATCAGCATATGAATGCTAAATATGAAACTTCAAGTATTATCAAATGACAAAATATTTTGAGAAAAAAGTTACGCTTTTGTTTAGGAAAGTTAAGTTTGGTTTGCCAGCAGTTAGCCAAAAACACATAGTTACTGAATAACTGACATAACAAGAGAGATTTCACATTGTGATTCATTATCACCTGGAAGCCTCATAGTTTTGTTCAGCATTAGCCATAGTTAATTAGGAACTCAGTCATCATGGTAGACTTCAGTTGTATGTAGTTTGTGGGTTATGTAAGTTATTAGCTATGAATCATACTTGTAGTATTTTGTCATACCACAAGAGGTCACACAATATTTATAAATCTACCCTGTGGTAAATTTGATAGTGGTCTATCAGTAAAATAGTAAAGGGAAATCTCATATAATAAGTAAAAGCCAAACAAAACACATTGTAAAACAATAATAAGATAATATTCACCAAATTATTTTTCATGCCATAGCATTTTCACTTTGTGAACTACGGTACTCATCATTTCCAAACCTCTTCCTGGCTGTGAATTTTATGCGGGAGTCTGGAGAAACCATATGTGGTGCTGTGGTACTTTCTGAATCATTATCAGGATCTGATGTAAGCTTGGAAGGAAAACAGGATCAGACTCTTCTTGGCACGGTGGGTAACATAATCGGATGATGTATGATGCATCAGATAGGATTACTGTGATCAAATAAGCATGCCTGGCAGTTCTGTGAAAATTATTAAAGCTGAGCTTAACTGGACAAATTGCCAATAGTACAGTAAAATGATAAACAGAATAGACTTTAATTTGGAGAGATTGCAGTCTGGATTTGTAAGACAGATCCTTTCATGAAATCACCACCCACACTTTTAATACAATTAATTGTCAGTGTAATTAACTACTACAATTGGAAGAGTCCCCTTTACACATTCCATTTTTAGGACAGCTTTAACTACTGCTCACTCTTTCAAACTGTGGTTGGGAGGGGGGAAAGGGGTTCATGCATATCCCTCCTCTGGCAACACAGCACTTGAGTGAACCATGCTGCCATGGGGGGAAAGGCTACAGATCAGGGAAACTAGAAATAGCTGGCTTTCTACCAGGCTATCCTGAGATGTAAAGGTTTCCCTATAGGATCCTGGGGTGTCAGCATAGTTGGATCACTATGTTCCCTGTTTGCCTTCAGCAGCCCCAAGCCTCCCCCCCCCCCAGGGATTAGGCATCAAAACTTCTGTGCAATGGGCCATGAAGAATTTTTTTGAGTTAATTTTCTCCTCTGGCTGTTTTTTCTGTAGTAGGGGATGATACAGCCATACTTATTTGATACACAATAACCTATCATTGATATGATTAAAAACTGCCTAATTATGTGTCTAGCTCACAGGCTGTTAATACTTCAAAAGAGCTGATGTAGTCTCAGTTAGATAAACAATATTTCTTGTTCCTTTCTCTTTACTTAGTCATGTACTTACCTGAGAGAGAGTAACAATGTCTGAAAAATAACCAGCACCATTTCTGGTTTTTTCCTCCTAACCCAAATAAAAATAGTGGTCATGATACTAGTTTATTTTAGGTCTTAAATAAAGTTTCCACCCAAGAGCCTTATAGTATGTTTTGAAGAGGTTAAGTATTAGCTCCATTTCACAGGTGGAGAAACTGAGGCACAAAAAAGTGAGGACTCACATTTTCGCCTAAGTGAAGTGCTTAGAACAAGCCTGTTCAGCAAGTATGCTCCTGAGTGACTTTTCCAGGGTCACAAAGCTGAACTTCATTAAGATAATTATGATGTTGTTTGTGGCAGAGCCACGTGAACTCTTATAAGAGCAATGGCCCTTAAACATGAAAAGAAAATATTTAAATTTTTTTTTAAAAACATGTATCCAGGGCTGTAGCCACTTGCATGTATACTTTTTTGGGCAGAGGAATGGTGTATGCAGTGGTTGTCAATATTTTCAGTCAGGGCACCCCTCCACAACTTTTTCAAAGGTGGCATTACCCCAGTTGAGAACCACTGTTGTATTCAACTTGCCTCAGTGCTTCTGAGCTAGGTGATGCTTTTCTATGCATCTGATTCATAGCTAGACTTGGAAGCACCGTGGTCATGCACTTACTACTCTTGCATTAGGGGTCTCAGAGAAAAGTGCTGGTGTTCAGTACATAGAGAAAAACGAAAGGGAAAATAATCATAATGAAGTATTTAACCAATCTCTTCAAAGCTGACTTCTTCAAAAATAGGAATTGTTCCTGTAGTTCAGATTTCATCATGAGAAACATAGCAAACCAATCCTAACCATAGCAGCCAACCCTCTCACAGAAGCACTTGGAGAGAAGAATGAGCTTCACAGCATGGCCTGACAGTCACTAATCTGGGCTCCCTCAGAACAAGAAGTGTGGGTGGGTAATAAACATCTGATAGGAAAAGGGTTTTTATCAGTTAGGAGTGGGGCGTTGAGACAGATAGAAAGTAGGAGAGTGGCACATCCTACAAGCCTTATGTCAGGACAAGCCTGCAGAAGAAGATCTTTAATAAAACCCACTGTGAAGATCTTTACAGACTGAATGGGACAAGTTAAATTAATCCTCTACTTAACAGGAAGACAATGTAAAGAAGAAAGAGTAGCTGTAATATGATTGTTATTGTTTAGGCCCTCAAGCTGTGTTTGCACAGCTTTCAAGCAATGGGGATATGCTGGTAGAAGCCTTGGTAGGAAAAGAATGTTAAGTATTGAAACACCTGGGCATTGGGTGGTGTATGGCATTTATGCAAGAGTGTGATTATAAAAGTAAAAGTAGAGTGTCCACAAACTGCATGGCTAGAAAAAAGATGTTGGTAATTTATTTTTAGTGTTGCACCACAGGGGCTAGAGACAGGCATTCAAAAAGCCTGAGCCTAAATTGAGTAAATCTTTGCAATTTAGTTTAACCCATGAGCTTGAACCGATTTACAAGTGGAGAGACATTTACTTTTGAATCAAGAAATGCAGGCATATGTCTGCAGCGGCTCAGGCTAGAAGTCGGGGGGCACTAGAGCAAGCCCTTCCTTCCTTTCTTCAGTGCTGAGCTGAGGGAGGCGGGGCGGGCACGGCTAGGTCTGGCAGTATTCTACTATTAGGGAGTGTTTTAAACCCCCACCTTGGTTTGCACAGCCTCCACCTGGAGTTTGCCTGGTGGGAGAGGGGAAAACAGCCCTCACCAGGCTTTCCTGGTTTGCTGGTCAAGGGGCGGGAGTGTTGCCAGACCCCAGTCCCCGGCCCCTGGCTAGCGCTCTGAGGCAAGGGGGATGGGGCAGAAAGGACTGCTTGCATGTAGTGCGTGCATCTGTTGATGATAGTGAGCTTTTCAATCTCCTTCTGTTGCTTTATCATACTGTCTACAGCAAACTGACAGGCAAGGGAGCCAGCAGGGAACTGATAACACAAAGTTTGTCAGTACATCGAGAAAACAAAATCCTCTCTCATTACTTCAAGCTCTTCTTAAACAAGTTTTTTTCAAGGAAGGAATGGAGGGACATTACCAGCTGACCTGTTGATTAGCACCAAAAAGTCCTAAGCAGACACTGTTCTGTCTGCCTTTGTCTTAGTGAAATTGGAGACACGCACATACAGACATCTCTTAGCATTAGCTAGCATAGGATTGACGTGACCATGACCAGATGCTGGCTACGGTCTGTGCAGATGGGGTCTGTGCTGTTGGGGTGCAGGAGGATCCCTGCTTGAGCAGTGAGCTATGAGTGTGTGTGGGATAGGGGGAAAACAGGAGATGCTGCTGTGCCTGCAGTCCCCCAGCCCCTTCTCAGCCAGCTGAAAGAGTGATAGTGCTCTAGCTAGGAAAGAGAGGAGTGGGGCCAGCCCTGCTCTCTGAAGCAAGCAGCCCAGCCCAGGGAAAAGCATGCTGGGATGCTGGGGGACTCTGATTTAACCTAAACCAGGAAGGGGTCTGGGACAGAAGTTCCATAAACCGGTTTGACCCAAATCAGTTAAATCTGATACTGCATTCAACTAGGATTATCTTAAATCAGTTTCGACCATTTTGAAACTGGTTTATGTGCACTGAACTTACGTTCTGCTTTAGGTTTAAACCAGTTTCTGATCACTTAAACCAGTTTATGTGTAACTTCTGTCCCTAGCCAGGGAGGCACAGTCTAAACTTACAGACCAAAGAGGAAGGGGGGTGGGGGTTAAGCCCAAAATGGCTTTATGTCACCATTTGTTCCCTCCTGATTCTTGATTAGTTCAGGGGCCAAAATGTAGGTGACTCAGAAATGCTAGCTAAGTTATGACAGTCCCAGCCAAACTGCCCATAGGTAGCAGCGTCATACAGAAGTGCAATAGCAGTGCTACTACTATCCCTGCTAGAAGCACCACCCAAACAAACCCCCTACCCTACAGCTTTCAGAAAAGGCTTTGTAGTTTCTATGTTAGGGGAATAACCCCACCAGCCAGATGCTGACTTGGTGGTACTTTTATGCTGCTGCAGCTATAGCCTGAAGGAAAAATCCTTCCCACCCTTTGTTATTGCATTCAACATGTGAAAATGATACCATCATTTTAATTAGGCTAATTAATTCTGAACAAGTTTCCTCAATGAACGAGGAGAGAAAATAAAAGAGAACCTTCTCATAACAATGACCTCTGCTCACTAATAAGAAATAAGAAACTCTTAAAATACGTGGATCATTAAAGGAAGAAACCAAAGAGGAGGGATGAAAGAAAGAGTGCTTTGGTGCCCAAACCACCTCTATCCTTTCTTTCACTCATAGAAAGTTTAGGGATTTGAAAAGTTTATACCGTGTAATTTAGCAGAATGATAATCTATTCCTAACTTTTGTTTTTTATGAAAAAGAATTGTTACAGCCTTCAACAACATTACTTAGTATTTAAAGGAATCTCCTCTGAAAATCAGGTGTCTGAGGCTTTTGAATGCAGTCAATCTTTCTGACACTGCTGCTAAGAAATTATAGACAATACACACCTACATGTTTCAGCAGCAGATTGCAGAAGCTTCTTCTATGTCTATTTTTATTTTCCTTATTTCAAGGTCTGCTGTTCTTTGTCATAGCTATGAATCCCTAAATAAAAGTAACAGAGCAGAAAGGATTTTAGAAACATTAGACAAGTTAGGAGCAGACAGCTAAAACATATCCTGATGGTGATTCAATTAACAAAGCTTAGTTTCTACTAAATATCTAAGCACACAGTTTAATACATTATCCCCCAAGGTTTACTGAATCAAGCAGTAGGGGCCCTCAAGCATCCTCCAAGAGGTGAGGATGAATGCTAGCTCCTTTATGGGAACTCTGGCTAATTTTAAAAAACAATTCCAGTCCACAGCCTGTTCCCTGAGTTTGCTAAGTCTCCTACTCACACACAGCTATGCAGGAAACTTGCCACAAGCCTTAAGCTGAATTAACTTGCAGGCTCAGCATAGCCACCAATGAGGAAATTCATGCACCTGAGAAATCAAGAGCAGTAGAGTTGAAGGAGCAGTTTGCTCATTTACATTCACTCCCCTTCCTCTCCCCAGCAGCTCTCTGTCAGCCATGAAGCAAGTATTTTGTGAAAAGTTTTTTCCTATGAATATGTAGACTCATTGCAGAGCCTGCACTTGTGGATAAGGCCATAAAGTATTTTGTTCTGGACTGGGGCTTTCTCTTTGGACTGTGATTGCACTTTTATAACCATTTTGAATAATGAATATATATTACTTCAAAGTTATTTTCAAAACAAGCAGGGTTTGGACATTTATACCTATATCAAGAATGTTCAGAGTTATCCTAGTTTCATAGAGGGGATATTAGACCTCACAATTCAGGGGTACACCAGTCTCTTAAAATTACAAAGCAGATGAAGCTTCAACTGCAGGTGTGAGGTAAGGATTATGCTACATCTGCCTACTAAAGAGTTCTTTAAACTTCCTCTGAATCATCCTGGTGTGGGCCACTATCAAAAGACAGGAGCCAGAGCTAGATAGACCTCAACTCTGATCCAGCATGGCAGTTCCTTCTTTCAATATACATTATTTAAGCCAGGCAGCAGGAGTAGTCACACACTAATGCATAAATGATAGACATGAATAATTTTACAAGTAGGTTATTATAGAAGTTGATAAGGGTGTGTCTGTACTGCCTCTGCTGTGTGCTGTAGGATGCTACTAAGTACATCTACACATTAAATTAATTTGACTAAATAAACTCCAGTGCAGTTCTCACTGAAGTTTATTGCTCCTGGGCACAGTGTTTACATGTCTGCCTGGGACTGCAGTACGATGATTAGGGATAGCACAGCCCCAGCTGGTAGGGGGCCCCCTGGGGTCAGCTTGCCACCCCGGGGTTATTCCAACCTGGCTCAGTGTGCCGTGGAGGGGCTGGCTGGGACATAAAGGCACTTCAGTGAGGGGCTAGCCAGCAGGCAGCCCCCATACTGAAGCACAATTGTGCCCCAGCCAGCCCTATTGGTGTCTATATATGCAATGCAGTGGAGTAAATAACTCTGCCATAGGATAATACTTGTATCTGGCAGTACTAACCTATGGTGGAGTTAATTAGTTTACTCTGGCCTAATAGCTCCACACATGTAGACGGAGATCTTTTATTGTGGAACTAATTAGTCTCTTCCTCAGGAAATGTCTTCTGTAGATGCACCCACTGTGAAGCAACCCTTCTCACTCCTGCTTTACACACAGCAAATATCGGAAATGAGGCATCACAGAGCAGCACTGAGCCAATGCCAATATAGATGCCCAAGACAGCCCAAGTGGGGGCAGACATGCATTTGGTAGTGCTCTAAGTTAGCTACTTTACCTCATTTTCAGGAGTTAGCATATGTGGAGCAGGAGCATATAGATGGGTTTAGTTCATGCAGCATTCCCAAGAGTGGCACACAGGCAACTCAAGTGAGTGTATAAAACTCCTTATGCACCAGTCAGGTTCACTTTGATGAATCATTACAAATCCAATCTGAAGGTTGCTACATTGTTATGGAGTTCTACTGAAGTCAGAAGGACTCCAACAAAGGAAGATAGGTCTGCACTAGCATATCCTGTTTCATGTGTGGTTCTTTAAGTCAACACTCCACGCCTCTTGATATGTAATATACAGTACACAAACACGCGCACCCCCCCATACGTACATACAGACATACATACTATAAAATGAGTAGAAATCCACACCTATAGTCTGGCTCTGATCCTATAATCTGATAAGTGGAGGTGAAGACTTGCATTTACGACAAAGTTCTGTTCAGAATGCAGTACTGGAGGCCTTACTCATTTACAATTTTCTATGAAAGTTCACCAGTTCAAAGGGTTGATGGACATAAAACCTCAAACTACTGAACTTGTACTTTTGTTAATAGTCAAGAATTGTTAATAGTCAAGAATCAATGAAGCTGTATGTAATGCCAGACTAAGATTTTCTTTTCATAAATCCCTTTTCCAAATGGAGCAAAATCCCAGCAGAGCAGTTTATGTTGATATAATTGCTGTAAAACAAGCTTAACTGTAACCATATAAGTAGGGCCCCTTATATTAATTATATCAAGAAAAACAAATTTGGATGGTGACGGCTTTAGAATACAGAAAAAGCCAGAGAACAAAACAAGAGCTCTTCTGATGACTATATTCTGAGATTTTGGGGGACATTGTGTGAAAGATACTAGATACATTTGTAGTACTGTGTTTTATAAAATAATAAAATGCTAAGCAAAATTCAAAGACTAACTTTTTAATCCAGTACCTCTTACCTATGCATTTCACATCAATTTTCTTTTATTTTACCCCAAATTTTGACCAGACAGTTGAATTAGAAGTTGAACAAAAAGAATTCAAGATTCAGTCCTTTCTTTGGCATTGCCTTGTTGCTTGGGTATGTGTAAACAACAACTCTTCACAACTAGATGAAGTGCTCCAACATCTTCTGCTCCATAAGGAAGAGCTCTGCCAAAAAAACTGGTAAGGATACTCTAACAAATCTGACATAATTCTTATAGAAACAACCTTTGTGTTTAAATGTTAACTGCCCCTAAATTGCCCATGAAAAAGATGTATAATCTCAGTACCCAAAGCAGAAGCAATTTATGCACTTTGTATGTCTTCATTTTATCAATAAATTGTTCCTACCTTTTTTGCTAGCAGCACATACATATATTGTTCCAGTTTGAGTTTATTAAATTAAGTTTGTTATTGATAGGAATTTCAGTCCAGCATTTTAAGATGCCAAATAGTTAAACAACAGACATGAAGTATACCATCCTTCAGGGAAATGTACCAAGCTTTGATTTTTGCATTCCATACTTCTCAAGTGTAACAAAAGCTAATCTCGAATTATTAAAATTAATTTTGAACTGGAATGTTTTCTTGAATGTTTCTGTAATTTAATCAAGTAGGTAAAGTCAAGCTTTATATTTGGGTTTCATTGAGCGAAGTTACAATTTGAAATGACCAACTTTAAGTAATTAATGCCTCTGTCACTCCCCCACCTGCCTCTTCCCACAAGTGATAGTAGGTACGTGCTCATTCATAAGAAAAAAATCTAGAGAAAAACAAAAGAAACTACTACATGAAAATCAGAGGCATGGGATATTTATTCCCAGTTTTTCATTGGGGCTGTACAACCTCTAGTAAAATGCAATATTGAAAATAAGAACAATCTGTTACTTTTCATGTTTGTGGGCAGTATGCCTTGTAGTTGTGCGGCAGGGTTAATTGTGTAGTTTTAGGAGTAGATTAGACAAACATTTGTATGGCATAGTGATGATCCTGCCTTGATCCTCCTGAGGTTCCTTCCAGTCCTACTTTCCTATGATTCTATATCTAATTATTCTTGTTCCTGAGCTTTACTATACAAGGGGCTAAAGAAAAGAAGGTTTACATGAATAGAATCACGCAGAGGAATGCCTGCTCACGCTATAACTCAGCTCACAAACAAAAAAGGTATAAACTCTGCCTCCTCAGAGTGAATTATTAGTGCATTATATAAATTGATCTAAGCAGCAAATGTATTGGTTTGCAGATGTAGGGGCTTGGTTTGGCATCTCTACATAATAGTAGAATCCCAGGTATAATGTAATTATGATGCTGAGCAAATGGTCAAGTAATTTAACTTTTAGTCAATATGATGCATAAAGCCCTCACAGCTATCTGTTTTCAGAAGTAATGGAGCAGTGGGCATGTCTACATGTGCACACTTACGGTGCAGAAACCAAAAGTACTGCGCAGTATGGGTGTATGTCTACACGTGCATGCCCATACTGCATAGCAAATATGGTGACTTATGCTGACTTGAGCGTAAATTTGATACCTGTACCACGCAGGTATCAGATTTACACTTGATTAATTACTGCAGAGTAATGCGCGTGTAGACACCTTACAGTAACACTGTGTGTATGGAGATACTTGGGACTAACTTTAGTCCCAAGTCAGTCCACGCACAGCGTTAATGCTCCTTAATGCCTGAACATGTAGATGCTGGTTTATTCCTATTTGCTGCACAATATTTTACTGTGCAGAAAATTTAAGCTGGTGTAAATGGACATGTAGACACACCCAGTAAGAACTGAAGACAACTGCTAGCAAAAAAAGCGGAAGTCAGACACTCTGTCCCACACCATGGGCATGTCTACAAATGATGAAGTAGGGCCTATGAAAGTTCATGCCTCTCTGAACCAGTCTGTTTCTGAGGTGCCACCTTGCCTTACTTTCTGCTTGACTTCAGACTTATATGGCTAACTACCAGTTTCCCTGGCTTTATGTGTGTTCTGTATGTGCAAATTTGCTCTTATGCAATGACCCTTTTTATACCAAAAATTCAATATATGCAACATAAATTCATTCATATGTGATCTATGTGGTGGAAGCCCACAGTCAGCTGCTTTGTGTGGTGCATTGTGGGAGTGATGCACACCAAAATATAGTCTCCTGTGTGGATCTGTGCTCCTCACTCATTGTCTGCCACAAGTGTTTCTGTAGTTGCCATCCCCATTATGATAATATTCACTACCACCCTGTCCTTGTGTGTACTGTCTGCTGTTGGTGAGTACCAAATTGTCTTCTAAAAGTAGTAGAAGCGGATATGGGGGTCAGTACAGTCGAGGGCTTGGAATGTATCCCTATTTGTTACATTCTAAAGTGGGTTCCCTTTATGTGAATTTGAGTTATGTGCTGTTTTCCAGGAACTCATGTACAGCATAAAGCAAGGGAAACCTGTATCTCTCTCTCTCTAAAATTAGTGATATATAAAATTTACAGTATTTTCTCATATCCATATTTAGTACTTTAGGACTAGAAGGCATTTTTTATCAGTTTTAATTGATTACTTGTTTGAAGCTACTAATTGAAATGGAATCTATTAGGATGTTTAATCAGTATGTGTCAGATTCTATACCACCGCTTAGACATGTAAGTGGACTTAGGCAACTAAGTGCAGTTCTATTCTGAAGAAGAATGTCTTGCATTTGAAAGAAATCCTTGCCTCCTGTATTCTATTCCACCCCACTCAAGTCTCTGAAAAACTGTTAAGACAAAAGATGAGTGGGTTGTCTTCCTCCTTCCTGCTTTTTTGTGACATAATCTTAAGGGCAAGATGATGGATGGCATGTTACAAAGTTCATGCATTAATGGATCTTCATGGACTTAAATAGGGTGGAACAGAATCACACCTGAGGCACTTAAGTCCACTTAGATGTCTCATATGTGGAATAGAACCTAGCCCTACCATAGCATAATTCAGCTGGGTGACTAGGGCACCAGCCCAGGACACCAATTTAGGAGTGGACGCAAAAATAGCAGGTGCTACTGCTGCTCTTCTGACTACCCAGGGCACAGAACTGCCCACTTATATCTCTTGCCCTTCCTGTCCATAACTTTAAGGAGTTTCTGTGCCTTTTATTTCTGTTTATTATTTGTATGTGATAGTGCCTATCACAGGCTAAAGGCAATCAGGACTTGTAGCAAAGATGGTATCTTTTATTAGACCAACAAGATTTTTCCAAAAAAAGGTCTTTAATTGCAAGCTTTCAGGCACAAACAGCCTTCATCAGGCATTGGAGAAAAGATTGTAAAAGTTCTCCTACCCAGGAGTGGTAAAAGTTCCCAGGAGAACTTTTACAGTCTTTTCTCCAGTGCCTGATGAAGGGTGTTTGTGCCTGAAAGCTTGCAATTTAAGACATTTTTTGGAAAAATCGTGTTGGTCTAATAAAAGATATCATCTCTACTGCGAGTCCTGATTGCCTTTTCTTCTAGACCAACATGGCTACAACCTGGATACCTAACACAGGCTATGCACTTTCCAGACTTTCAAGAAAAGATAGTCCAGGCTTTGAAGAGTTCATAGTTTAAAGACAGACAAGTGGTTAAGGGAAAGAGAATAATGGATTGAGATTTTTAATGAGTCAGCTAGTTTCAACAGAATGAAATAGTTTTTACTTAAATAAGTGAAAATTGGCTTAAATATATAATCATTCAACTCCACAATTTGGCTGTTTTTCATGTATGGTTTAACTGCCTTTTTGTAAGCACTCAGTCCTCAAGGAAAATGGCTAAGCCTGAGTTGTTTTTCTCTCCTTTTTTTTTTGCCTGTGAAGTGTAAAAGCTTAAATTTGCTATCCAGCTACTGCTGCAGTAAAGCTTCCTTTTAACTCTACCCTACAGAGCTCTCCCATTTTCATTTTATTCCCCCAAAGGTTTTTGGTCTCAAGTTTTTACAAATTACAGTAAATTAATTCAGAATTGTGTTTGTAAAGCAGAAATGGTCCACTGAATTTTAGAGAAAGGAATTTCAGCTGCTTTTTATGTACAGACCTCTTCTTAAGAGAGCAATCGTGTTTATGAAGAACAGTCCCTCCCTATCATGATCCTACACTATCTCTATGGCAACTGTGGTACTTATTCAATTTATATGTGTATTTAACAGCATTAAGATCAAATGAGTTTCCCTTTCTCCTTTCTAAAGCATTTCTCTATTCTCTTGAGTTTGTCTATGTACAGTTAATAAACATTTAAACTGAACTATTTTTCCTTTCCTTCAAGAAGCCCTTTGCTTCTCATTACCCTCTTCTTTGCTGCTTCAACTCTCTACTAAGCAGTCTGTTCCTCAGCACTTCCTCTCCTAGTTCTGGTTCTCCTGATGACTTTTGTTCCACAAGCAGCATGAGGCTCTTTGCTAGCTGGTAGATACAGGGTCCTCTTCACTCTCCTGTTAGTTACAACATTCCTTGCTTAAGGCTTCCTTGTCCTGCTTTTCTTTCTTACTCTTGACATTGTTATAAGTAGCTAGTAAGGAGATAGTGCTCAACAGATTAAAAACAGTGCCTAGAGCACACTGGGTACATAAAAACATACAGAGAGATTAGAGAGAGGTTAGATTATGTTAAAAATGGCCACCCGATTTAACTTACTTCCCCCAGGTGCACTTAGATTGACCTAACTAGGGGTTTAGGTGCAAACTGTACAGAAGTTCAGATCAGTCTAATAATGGCTGACCTGATCTCAGCTAATGCTACCTTGGAAGCAGTCTAACTTAGATCGGGTCTGGTAAGACCGATCTAACTGAATTTTTGTAAAGATCCCAGCACAGCCGCGGGACTAGGAAAGCGCAGCTGCTGGTCCTAGCCCCGGGGTGGGCAATTATTTTGGGTGGAGGGCCGCTTACTGAGTTTTGGGAAGCCATCAAGGGCCGCATGACAGGCATCCAGGGGCAGATAAATATTAATTTTCTAAATTTTTTAGAGTCCCTGCGGGCTGGATAGAATGGCCTGGCAGGCCAAAATCCGGCCCGCAGGCTGCATTTTGCCCACCCTGTCTTAGCCCCAGGACTATGCTTTCTCTACCCAGTCCCTTGGCACCAGACTATTTGTAGCCCCCCAGCCCCTCCACCCACCCCCAGACGAACATCCATCCCTGGTAGACCAGTCGGACCACCCCCCACAGCCCTCCAAACCCACTCATCCTGCAAGCTGCTCCCAGTGCTGGTTTTACTGGTATTTGCCAGTGCCAGGAGCCAATAGAAGTCAGGGTGGGGGGAGGGATAGGCAGGATGGGGGGTAGGTTCCTCATGGGAGTTGTTCAACTTTGGGGAGCAGTTGTCTTGAGAGTGG